CCTTTTTCCTAACTTACGTATATTCAGATTTTAGTGTAAAGAAAGTATAAGGTTTGTGTATTATTACCTCATTTCTTTATTTTGTTTTTCTTGAATGATTTATAGAAGTATGCCACAGACGAGCCACAGAACTGTTGAAGAGATTTAAATACCTATATCTGTAGATAAAACAATCCATAGATAAGTACAATTTAGCTACAAACTATGAAAGGTCATAGTCTAAAGTATGAAAACATAAATGGAATTTTTATAAAAAGAAAATATGTATCCTTGGTTTGAATGTTTAGAAATTACATTCTCTTGAATGGAAGTGAGAATACAAGACAGACAAAATTCCTCACAGATCTAGGCAATATGCATGTTTGAAGTGCGAGAGCTACAAAGATAATTGTTGTTACAGATTAAGAGGTATCACTGAAAGATGTTGTTGCACAAATATACCTACTGGCGTTGCTATGTCAACGTTAATGTTTAATAAATGGTGTACATATAAAAACTTCTCGGTAAGCTTGTCTCAGGATTATCGTGGGGAAAGCAGTAATATGACTTGCAATGATGAATTAAGCAGGAATAGAAAATACTGGTTTGAGGTATAAACGTGATATTTATACATATACTATAATGGTTTATTCAGAATTGAGAATGTTATGAGAAGATTGACAAGATATGTAAGATCTTTATTATTCTAACTAGATTTAAAGCAGTTAGAATGCAAAGCAAATGTTGTAAATAGACTTGACTTTTTACAGAGTTTTCTATGAATGCAGCGAAATTGTATGATAATAGTAAGTGGAGGGATATTGCAAAGTTCAAAAATTATTTAATTTTGTATTTGATTTCAACGAAACAGTTAATTAGGGCCATAATTAAAATTATCAACAGAAATGCGCATCTTTGCCCTGATCTAATTTTTGTATTAAGTCGAGTTCACAGAATTACCGGCTGTCCCGTTAGGGGGCATAAGTAATTAATAGACTATTAATATTGTATTGTGTAATGTGAAATGTATTATATTTTATGTTCGATGTACAAACGACCTTAGTCCTCAGAAGGAAGAAACATTTATTTCGTTCAACGTTTCGTTTCTACAACTTGTTAAGTAGTAAATCACTCCTGAAAAAGTTGTAGAAACGAAACGTTGTGCAAAATGAATATCACCTTCCTCTGGGATTTATGGTCGTTATTCATCATACAAAATTTTTAAGTTACTCCGGTCAACATTTTGTACAATGACTATATATCCTTTATTGCAAGTACTTAATTACCGTTAATATTATTGAAGTGAAAAATCCCTTTATTAAGCACTGGTTAGTTTTTTTAGGGCAAAGCCACAGAGGGCTATCTGCTGCGTCTACCGCGGGGAATCGAACCCCGGATTTTAGCGTTATAAGTCCTTAGAGCTACCCACTGTTCTACCGGGGGATCCTTTATTAATTAAGAAATTATGTTAATCTAAAAATATGCTTCAAACTTTGAAAAAAAAAACAGTAATCATGCAGGTGTATTCAGAGCTTGTAATAAAAAGTTACATCTATTGTTTGATTTTCTGTATTTTGTTTCTGTTTACCATATCTGAATTAAAGATAACGCGTTTTTAATTTGGAAAACTAAGCAGGTTCTTCTATAAAAACTGACTCACTTTAGCCCTTATTAGACGAGTGGCCAAATATCATGAAATTCAGTTCTGATTAAACTAAAACTTAACCTGCTTTCACTAGTTTTAATCATTAAGTGAAACTTCAAGGTTTTGGATTAATTTGTTAATTAGTTTCGTTTTGCATTACTTAGAAGCTAATTATATGGATAAGTATATATAAGTGAAAAGCCTTTGAAAAATATAAATATGTTATTAATTCTTGATGTTTTTTTAAATATTTTTTTTTTCTGATCTTGAATAGCACAAATAGGCTAGCAAAAATTAAATACGAAATTATTTGTTTGTTGTTAAGCACTTAGCTACACAAATGGCTGTCTATGCTGTATTGTTTTTGAAATTTCGAGCAAAGCAACACGAGGGTTATCTGCGCTAGCCGTCTCTAATTTAGCAATGAAATACTAGAAAGAAGGCAGTTAGTCATCGCCACCCACCGCCAACTCTTGGGCTATCCTTTTACCAACGAATGGTGGGATTGACCGTTACATTATAACGCCCCCACTACTGAAAGGACGAGCATGTGACGAAATTCGAACCCACATCCGGGCCATTCTGTGCTGTATCCACCACGAGTATCGAAACCTGAGCTTTAGTGTTAAAAACCTTCAGACTTACCTCTAAGCCACCGGTGGGCAATCCAATATTAAAGTCCACACCCAGCCTGTTGACTTAAACGATACAAAGTATCATTCGTTAATCTAGTATAATAATTTTTATTTGGATGATGGTAATATATGTTGAGCTAATTGGATTAACTTCAAAGTAGCTAAGAGATTATGAGTAGATAATGGTAACATATGTTGAATTAATTGGATTATCTTCAAAGCAGCTAAGAGGTAGAGGATAGGTAATGGTAATATATATTGGATTGAGTGAATTAACTTCATCGTAGCTAAGAGATTAAGAGTAGATAACGGTAATATATGTTGAGTTAATTGGATTAACTTCAAAGCAACAAAGAGATTAAGCGTAGATAGTGTTTTTTCTGTAGTTTGTTTATTTTTCTATATATGTTTGTAGAAAATAGTAGTGATATCCCTCTGTTGGTTCTATCTATCCAAAATAACATTCTAGTCAGAAAATAGTAGTGATATCCCTCTGTTGGTTTGATCTATCCAAAATAATATCCTAGTCAGAAAATAGTAGTGAGATGCCTCTGTTGGTTTGATCTATCCAAAATAACATTCTATTCAGAAAATAGTAGTGAGATGCCTCTGTTGGTTTGATCTATCCAAAATAACATTCTATTCAGAAAATAGTAGTGAGATGCCTCTGTTGGTTTGATCTATCCAAAATAACATTCTAGTCAGGAAATAGTAGTGAGATGCCTCTGTTGGTTTGATCTATCCAAAATAACACGCTATTCAGAAAATAATAGTGAGATGCCTCTGTTGGTTTGATCTATCCAAAATAACATTCTATTCAGAAAAAAATTTACAAAAGTAACAAGAACATATCTGTCTATATCGTAATTTGGTACAAATGTTCTATGTTTCAGTTAACATTGTTTGAAAGTTTCGAATACATAACTTCTCATTTGAATCGTATATAATTTTATTTAATCAATCTCAATTTGAATAAGTATTAAAAATAATAAAGTCCGTTGCTAGTAATTGTAACTTATTTACAATATAAAGTGCGTAGCGATTTTATATTTACACGCTGTTTTTTTGTCGGTTTTGAGTGTAATGTCGAAAATATCAAATTAATTTCTAACTAACGGAGCTGTTTCCAAGTTAGTAAATTTGAAGTTGGTAAAGCTTGTTATCTCAAAACGCTCAATATATATAAACCCATACATTTATTCATTTGTATTTATGTAAAAATTGAAGAAATACAAAGTATTGCCATAAAACAAACTTTATTATTATCACATTAATATGAAAAACTACAATTTTAAACAATTTATTACAATAATGGTATACGTTAGTAGAAAAATAAAAAAAAACATTGAATAAAGCAGTTCATTTAAAAAACATGCACTCATAATTTAGAATTCAAACAATGGTTTATTGTTATTTTAACTATAAAAGAATGTCAGATAAGATTTTATTCAACATTTTAAACTGTCATTTAAATATTTTTGTTCGTATACAGTTAAAGCAGCTTAAAATAGCCAAATATGTTTAAACTCCTTTTTTTTAGGTAAACAAACTAGCAAAGAACATAGATTGGCATTACGGCTGGAAAACAACAGATGAATTACGTAGACAGCAATACACGACTCAGATCAGACAAGAGCGTTACATATCTAACATACAAACGACACAGATAGGGGGAGTTGTAGCTGTTTGAACATTGGTTTTATCGACACATTTCATCTTCTCCAGAAACTGATGGGATATGGACGTCCACAACAACTTCCCGCAGTGAACAGGAGTCGCCAGTATTGAGTTTTTGTTTTGGAGAAGTAAACGTGGTGGTTACACTACGGTTATCGGTTAACGGTCTGCGTTTAGCATTTTCGTTTTCTTCAGTTTTCGCGTTCAAGCTGGAAAGCTGAATGCAAGAAAAGGAAGGAATTAACGGAAGAGATTTCCTCGGACTTGTGAAAGAGTAGCAGGCAACAATTCCCAGAAACACTCCTACACATACCAACATCAATCCTGTTGTCAGAAGGATCGAGCCAACAGCGATTAAAGGGTCCAGAAAATTACTTAAGCTCTGATTCTGCTGACGCAAGCTTGGAAAAGTACGATATAAAGTTCCTTCCAGATGAATTTGCTGTTTCAAAGCCATTGACACGAGTACGCTTCCTCCGATTAAATTAAACACTCCGAATAACGAAAAACAAATTACAAATGGACAAGCTATGACAAGACTTGCGGTGAACCTTTCTCTTGATGACATCGTTAAATGGTTTGATGGGATGGACGACATACTCGATCTTACGATGTCCTCCGAACGTTAGATGGCTCTTAGCTGTATAAAGTTAATGTAAAAATATGGTCACAGGTCATTGTATGGCATCTAAATATTCAGTTTAGTAAATAGAATTAAGGCACATCATATTCATTATGCTACAATGGCCCGGTATGGGCCAGGTGGTTAGGGCGCTCGACTCGCATTCTGAGGGTCACGGGTTCGAATTCCCGTCACACCAAACATGCTCGCCCTTTCAGCCGTGGGGACGTTATAATGTGACGGTCAATCCCACTATTTATTGGTAAAAGAGCAGCCCAAGAATTGGCGGTGGGTGGTGATGACTAACTGCCTTCCCTCTAGTCTTACACTACTAAATTAGGGACGGCTAGCGCAGACAGCCCTCGTGTAGCTTTGCGCGAAATAAAAAAAAAATCATTATGCTACAAAAACATCTTCTTTCAGAAAACAAAGCTCAAATAGTTGCTTATATGTTTGACAGAATCCTTGCTTTAAGGTTTGTGCCTTTAAAAGACGTTGCATAAAACACAATAATTCTAAGCTGGAAGTCTATCGACTAAGATGCAGCTAAAATACAAAATTGTCCAATCAGAGAAGTTAAACATATATTAATAAATATAGCGTTATAACGCTCCCTCCCTCCCCCAGTGGCACAGCGGTATGTCTGCGGACTTACAACGCTAAAAATCGGGTTTCGATACTCATGGTGGGCAGAGCACGGATTGCCCATTGTGTAGATTTGTGCTTAACTTCAAACAAATAAACAAGCGTTATAACGTATTGTAGTAAAGCACGAAGCTACACAATGGGCTATCTGTGTTCTGATAGTTTTTTTAAGATAGTGAAAACACGGAAGAATTAAATAGACGACACAACAAATATTTTAATGTTTTTGACGTTTCGAAAAACTTTAATCTCAAAAACAAGCATTTTAATGCAATCGTTTAATTCATCATGCCTAACATCGAGCAGTTGTACAATCGTCGTCCAGCTGTGCTCTGTCCACCACGGGAATCGAAACCCTATTTTTAGCGTTATAATCCCAGTGACATACCGCTGAGCCACCAGAGGGCGTACCGTAAAAGAAAACTATTTAGTGATCAGTGTGAACCATATAATATGAAGGGAATGTACTTCTTTATCAGAGGAAGATTTATAAAGAAAGATGTGAAACATCTAGTCACCAGATAAACTTTTATGATTATATTTGTCATAAGACATTAATATAAGGCCTATTACATGATAAACTTTTATAATTATAGTTTGTCATAAGACATTAATATAAGGCCTATTACATGATAAACTTTTATAATTATATTTGTCATAAGACATTAATATAAGGCCTATTACATGATAAACTTTTATGATTATATTTGTCATAAGACATTAATATAAGGCCTATTACATGATAAACTTTTATAATTATATTTGTCATAAGACATTAATATAAGGCCTATTACATGATAAACTTTTATGATTATATTTGATAAAAGTTTATCATGTAATAGGCCTTATATTAATGTCTTATGACAAATATAATAATAAAAGTTTATCATGTAATAGGCCTTATATTAATGTCTTATGACAAATATAATCATAAAAGTTTATCATGTAATAGGCCTTATATTAATGTCTTATGACAACTATAATCATAAAAGTAAATCATGTAATAGGCCTTACAGTAACGTCTTATGACAAATATAATTGTAAAAGTTTATCATGTAATAGGCCTTATATTAATGTCTTATGACAAATATAATATAAAAGTTTATCATGTAATAGGCCTTATATTAATGTCTTATGAAATTATATTTGTCATAAGACATTAATATAAGGCCTATTACATGATAAACTTTTATAATTATATTTGTCATAAGACATTAATATAAGGCCTATTACATGATAAACTTTTGTAGCTAGTATAAAACGCTTATTTATCCCAATCTACAGAGAAATGATTAAATAATTAAAATAGAATGCACTATCCTAGAAGTACCGACATGAAAGACGATTATAGAAAATTTAAATTAGTTTAATTTATGTATGACTTCTTTTAATCGAACATGTTGTATGTTGACCGATGCATAAATACTTTATCAAAGCATATTATATACAGCAATATATATATATTATATAGCTGTAATGTAGCGTAAGTGATTTCATTGAAAAGCCTTCTTAATTAACGTTGCAATAACTGGCTCTAAGTACGAAAACAGTAAGCTCTGTAAATTATTAAAAAAAAAACAAATTAATTAATTTATCTCAGCAAGTGGACCAAAAAAATACTATTTGCCATCATAATAAAAATTACTGTTTCTTGTAACTCACAGCTGCACAATTGTATATTGTTAATTGACCAACGTGAAGAATCGAACTCCGGATTTTAGCATTGTACGTCCGCTAAGGTTCTGCTGAAAAATGGAAGAAAACATTAGTGAAAGCCAGAACATAGTAGAAATCTAAATAAATAAGATGTAAAGTTCGCATACACAGTTTTAATGAATTAATCCAACTAGCGTTTATAGGTATTTAGTCAGTAACATAGGGTAAAGGAACATTCTAGAAAGTTAATGAATTAATCAACAAGCGTTTATTGGTATCTAGTCAGTAACATATGGTAAAGGAACATTCTAGAAAGTTAATGAATTAATCAACAAGCGTTTATTGGTATCTAGTCAGTAATATAGGGTAAAGAAATATTCTAGAAAGTTAATGAATTAATCAACAAGCGTTTATTGGTATCTAGTCAGTAATATAGGGTAAAGGAACATTCTAGAAAGTTAATGAATTAATCCAACTAGCGTTTATAGGTATCTAGTCAGTAATATAGGGTAAAGGAATATTCTAGAAAGTTAATGAATTAATCAACAAGCGTTTATTGGTATCTAGTCAGTAACATATGGTAAAGGAACATTCTAGAAAGTTAATGAATTAATCCAACTAGCGTTTATAGGTATCTAGTCAGTAATATAGGGTAAAGGAATATTCTAGAAAGCCAACAAAAATTGCGATCTGTGGGTGCGCTATAAGTTTGACTTTCAAATCTGACTATTCGATCAGACAAGAACAGCCTAAGAGTTAGCGATGGATGCTGCCTGTTCCCTTTAGTCTAGCAGTTCAAAATTAGGAACGACTAGCGCTTGAGTAGCTCTACGCAAATATCCAAAAATAAAGAAAACACGAACAATTCGGTCCAGTTTTATTGTTCCTAAAGATTACCCTAGGGCCTGGACCACCAGTCTGGCGAGTGAGCGTGCTGTTTCTCGAACACATCCGTTTTCTAAGACTGCTGTAACATATCAAAAACACACGTGAAACGTCTTCAACTTACTATTTTTAAGCAATAGAAAAGTACCTGTTTTGGTTTTTTATTATTTTTTTTGCTTAAGGATCAAATATGTGTATCAGTTCAGTGAAACAATAGTAAACAAACTAAAGTAAGGATATATACATAGGAGTGTTCCAAAGTTTCAATCTAAAAATCTTATTCGACTAAAAACTAGAATAATTAAAAACATAAGGTAACATTAAAACGACGCTTCGCCAGTGTTCATCTGGTGTCATCTGACACACCTATATTAACACATACCTCTTAAATAGAAGTCAGATGTTACGATACGCATGCGCAACAGATTTGAACATATATAAAGGAGTTCCCGGATGTTGATTCAATCTAAGTTTATAATGTTGAAGATACTCTCTGTTAAGAACAATCACATCATTACTGGACGATCAAAGAGAAGCATATGTTCGTTTATTTCAATATTTAATTTTCTTCCCGTTTCTCCTATGTAGATTTTATAAACAGTCCCAGGACTGTCAGATTTAGAGTATTTTTTTTTTTTTAGAAATAAGAACGACAGTTTTGTCCTGGTTTCGTGATAAATTTAACTCCTATAAAGATTGTTATACACCAACGTGTCTTTTTGATAGTATTGGTTACCCCTAGGACATGCAGGAAACAACAAAAGAAGGGGTACTAAAAACGCATTACCAATTCTATACACTATACTCTACAAAGAAATTATTAATTCCTATTAATTAATAACTTTTCAAGGTGTTACAAGTTCCCTTACTATTACTTAAAACAGTTTTTATAATAACCAGTCTCTTTGTTTGAGCATTTGATGAATACAAACGTATATAGATGTCAGAGTTTGTAAACCTTTTTATGATTTAAGGTTGTTGGGCGTTTTATGACACAAAGCAACTATGCTATCTTATTCAAAGATAGAAACATAAGTTTGTTTGAATTTCGCGCAAAGCTTCACGAGGGCTATCTGCGTTAGCAGTCCCTAATTTAGTAGTGTAAGACTAGAGGGAAGGCAGCTAGTCATCACCACCCCCTGCCAACCCTTGGACTACTCTTTTACCAACGAATAGTGGGATTGACCGTCACATTATAACGCCCCCACGGCTGAAAGGGCGAGCATGTTTGGTGTGACGGGGATTCGAACCCGCGACCCTCACAGTGCGAGTCGAGCCCCCTAACCACACCGGGGCAGGATAGAAACATTCAATAATGTTAATGAATTGTTTTTATCACAGTCTTCAGTGAAATTAATATTGTTGTTTAATTTACTAAGATGTTCATGAAACAATTAATTAATATTATTATTATTATGTAATTTATTAAAATATTCATGAAATAATTAATTAATACTATTATTATTTAATTTAATAAGATGTTCATGAAACAATTAATTAATATTATTATTATTATGTAATTTAT